AGTTGTGATTCTTGCTTTTCTTTCCTAGTTTACTTGTAAGATTCAAGGAGGGGCTGTAGCTCGCACCTCTCCTTGGGATGTTGTATGAACTCACTCTAAATCTGCTTTTGAATTAATAAATTTATTATCATTCATCAAAAAAAAAGATAAAGCATGGATGATGATGATGATGAAATTTGGCATCAACACTTCAACGAGTCAACAAATCAAACCCAACCACAGGCACTGAAAACTTTCTATCATGAACTTTATGAAATATTCTAATCAAGAAACAAGGTTTTTTTTGTAATAACTCGTTTCCTTTGTTCTACATGCAATCAAGCCTTAAAAAGAAAGGAAAAAAATACAGATGAGTGAACCAAATGCCAACCTCACTGTTACATAAAATTCATTTCTAACAATGAGCTACATCAACCCATATTTGTCTGAAGAAAAGGTTCAGCTTACCTAGAATATATGTATACATACTAAGTTATTATTAATATAAACCAAGCCATAAATTAAAAAAAAAAACATTCATTTGCAGATTTTCTATGACATGGAATCCCACAAAGCATTCCAGGTTCATATGTCATTCTTATAAACTTATAACTGTGTGATCAAAATTAAATTAATAAGGCCCACAATTAACAATTCTTTTAAATGAAATTTTCAAAAATATCACATAACAATGGAGAAGAAAAAATTACCCAACTCCCTTTGAACGCCTTGAATTGCGATCCATTATGAGACGCACATCCCGCACCTGAAAACGGTAAACATAGTGTTGTTAACAAGATAATAGATGGACAACTATGATAACATATACAAAATGTTCAACTTACAAAAGACAATCTCCTGACAAGATAACTTTATAGTTTAATCATTGGCACCATGAAAGGCAGCCTATATGATTGCCTGTCACGTTTTAAGTGCACCATTAAACTCACTAAATGCAAAAAAAAAAAAGCACAAAAAGAACCAATAAAAGAATGCTTCATGGAAGACACGAAATAACACAATGAGAAGTAAAAATAATGAAATATTGCATCTCGATCTTAATAATACACAACTTTCATAATAGAAGCAACATGCAAAATAATATGGGAAACCAAAGTAAAGTGAAGGATTTGGTACATCCAGTTTTAGTCCTTCATTTTTCTAATTCTATTAGAACAGGAAAGAGTGATTTTAGTATCAATTTGTCAATGTTCGATTATATAAATAAATTCAAATTCAGTTATAATTTTTAAATACCCATCAGACATCAAATCACCATATCTCTAGTCAAATTCGAATCTTGCTTGATTTGCTTCAAACTCACTCCACTTACAGGACTAACTGTGATAATGCAGGTTCAAGTCTGAGAGCAGCCACTTCATGCAAGAAAAAGCCAAAGCAAGACCTGTATCAAGGCCACCTCTTTCAAGATGCTGGATACGAGGGACCAATATTGGTAATGGTTTGACCCCTTGGCCATAGGCATTTTATAGGTTGATTGGAAATAGTCTAGGGACAGTGTTGTACTTTATCCCTGATTATTAATAAAATTGTCTTTATAGTTACCAATAAAAAAATAGTCTAGGGAATGTGTAGAAAATTGCAATAAATAAACATGCATGATATGTACATTAAATAGTGTATTGCATTTATCCCTCTATTGACAGTCAAACTGGGCATTTTATTCATTCATTTACTGATCCATTCCCCATTAAAGATTTACAACTTTTTGCATGTTTTTAGAACCAGAGCTTCCCTACAGTTGGTAGGTCTCATCCAGTCTGCTGGTTAGTGTTTATCGAATAGTCCTAGAATTGCCAAATAAACCTAGCATTTAAATTGCCTGGTTCTATGCTTTCTGTGGTTCTTTTTATCAGAAACTCCTTTTATGTGTGGACCTGATTGTCCTGGGCCACTTTCTTGAAAAGGCAAACATGTTCAAGAGAATATTCCTTTTTCATGGGGGTGGGGATTGATAAGTAACCCAATAGAAGACATTCAAATATAGCATAATGCAACAACAAAATGCACTCAAAACTCAAAAGAATAGGGTGCAAGAAAAACAGAAAAAAAGGTAATAAATATGGCCAGATAAGAATTTTTGTGTATGAGAGAGAGATAGACCTTGCCGGCCCTTGAAAAGAATTCATATACATCCCTTTCATCTGCCTTCAAACAAATCTGCTCAAATCACTGAAAATAGCAATTAGCAACAATTCATGCCTTGGGGGGGGGGGGGGATTTGGTGAATAAAATATTGAAAATGACACCATAAAAGGAAATTTTGTGACCTGATAAGCAAATACAGTCCTTTGATCTCGTTCAGGATCAGCCTCTGGCTCTGCCACTTCCTCCTTTTTCTCTTTATATCGCCTGCAACATAGAAATCTCAAATATCAACCAGACATGATGAATCACTGCTCTGTATATTTATCATCTAAAAAGTACATCATTTTCACAAAAACTAAAGCAAGATGATAAGGTCATCCATAAAGCAACCTCCAAATAAACAAAGCATTCCATATGACAAGATACAGAATATTTTCAAAACGAAAATTCCTGTAACAGCGGCATGTTTCTTTCTCTGACAGCACATCACAACTTATGGTGACATGACCTATGTAACAAATGTAAATGAATAGTTTCTGACTTGCAGAATATATAAACAACTAACCTGAACATGAACATTAATTAATATCAGTAACTGAAATATCAAGATTCTGGTATCTAACTACTGTAAGTGTAAAATCTAGAATAAATCAATGAAGAAGTAACAGTTATTTCCCACCTTTTCCCTGTTTGACTAAGAAGTCTGAAAACAGCAAACATATGACAGTTATTAACACCAGATTATGCCAACTACAATACTGAGCAAAAAACTCTAGTTTATCACATCTGCCATCAGTTTGGAGCATGAGCTGTGTTGCAGTAAAACAAGAGATATTCCAGGAAAACAGAGAGAGACGGAAACTATATTGTTATGGTCTAACTATATGTTGACTAATGAGCATAGCACAATCACATCATCATTTTGATCACCATGGATATAAACATGTATTTGACTGGTTCTACTAGACCAAAATGTTTAATAGTCAAGATATAGTTAAAAGAAGGAAACACACCAAGGAGAAACCAAGCAAGCACATGTAAGAAGCTACTAGCCATTTTGTATGCAGCAAAATTTTTAGAGATAAAAAGTGTGAGAACAAAGGAATAAAACAGAGTCAAGAGAAAAATATGTAAAATGGATATAGTGGAGAAAATGAAAGGCAAATGGAATTGCCAAGGAACCTAGCATAGCAAGAACCTAAAAATGCCCCCAAATAAGTAAGGACTTCAGAAAACAACTCGCCTATCAGTTGCATGCTGAAAATCTTGACTTGCGTATGGCACAGAACCTACAAATAATGAAATTTGACAGCTGCCAAAGGACCTTAGTTGAGCTACAGGCAGCCCAAAATCCTATATCTTTGTGAACAATTATCAATAGAAGTAATAGTCATTTATAATATTTTATCGAGCACAAGTTTTATCAAAGATCTGGCAGCCAATTGAACACCAATTTTCCACACAACCATCAGAGGACGCAGTATTTCTGTAAAGCAGAGCCCTTTACTCCCTCACCCGCATTTCTGCAACAGAATAAATATAATTAAGCTGTTGTGTTCTGAGCTGGATGATAACCAAATCATAACATACATCACCGACTCCTTGTCAAAAACCTCGAAATGCTTAAGACTCCAATCTTGCAACACAAGCTTCTAAACTGTGATAAGTTAAGGAAAAAAGAAATTTTAAGACCCATGACCTGAATTCCTGAGCCTGGCTCAGTTTCCAGAAAGACCATCTGAAGATTGCTCTAGCATATCTGCGAATTTCACAATCTACTTTTCAATATTCAAAATTTCCAGCACTGATAAACAGCACAAGTAACAATATGAAACTTGAGCATCACTTTTGCCAGAATAAGTGCAAGAAAAAAATAATAATTTCGTTGAGATTTAAAAAAAAAAAAAAAAAAAAAANCAAGAAAACTGATAGATTTTAAAGGGCCTCCAGCCAGGAGGAGGCAAAAGAAGTGCTAGTGATACTTGGTTCATCTCATATGGTGTCTGTATCAAAAAATAATAATTTCGTTGAGATTTAAAAAAAAAAAAAAAAAAAAAAGATTTCAAGTGAAAAGATTTTTAACAAGAAAACTGATAGATTTTAAAGGGCCTCCAGCCAGGAGGAGGCAAAAGAAGTGCTAGTGATACTTGGTTCATCTCATATGGTGTCTGTATCAACTTGGATGGAAAATAGACCATGAACAGAAATTTACTAAATATATACCAGAATTTGGACATTAAAGAATCCAAAAAGAAAAGGTATAGATAAGAGAAGAATGAAAAAAATTTCAAGGACAGAAAAGCATCTAGTAATTTGGATTCTCTTGTTTCAATTACATTGGGCAGCAACAACTTGAGAGACCTGTGACATTGATCATAGCATTTTTTTAGAAAGGTAAAGTATGAGAAAATTGTAATTGTAGGTTTGATATCTGTTTAGGGGTTGTTTGCAGTGTGGGAGCATTCTTTTAGGGCAGAAGAGAGTTGTCATCTTGTTACTAGCATTTTACTGTATGTATCACCATAATCTTCTTTGGTTTTAATGGACACTTATGATTGCCTTTTCCCATGGGCATAAGCAAAGTGCTAGATTATATAAGTTTTGTATTTGCTATTTGTTTTTTTAATTTACTTTTCAAACATAGTAATGAATGTGGTCAATACATCGATGGATATTCCTTCATGAAATAAAAAAAAAAAAGAAAAAAACATACCATTTCCATTGATCATTTTTAATTAATGAAAATAAGTCAAATTATTGTAATGAGGTAGTACTTGGTTTTCTCAAAACAAGTAAGTCATCATCTAAGCCTTATCCTAACTATATAGACTCAACTACATGAATCCAGTTTTCCCATTCTTTTCTGTTTAATGTCATATTCATTATAAATTGTGAACACTTAAATCATTTCCCACCTCTTCAACTTGTAACAGATAACTATATTCTTAAGAGTGCTGTAAGATGATCTTCTATGCACGTGACTGAACTTCTGGCCCTACTTCATAGTTTTTCCACTCATCCATCTCAGCACACACATTTTTTCCAGTCATTTGTTGGACATGTTGTTCCCTGATTGCCCAACACTCAGTTCCATACAGTATTGCTGGGCATACGACTGCTTTATACAAATTTCCTTTTTAATTGAAGTGGTATTTGCCTATCACATAGGACTCCAGATGCACCCCCTCCAATTTTGCCCATCTTGCTCTAATTATATGGGCCACATCCTCCTCTATCCCTCCCTTGTTATGAATTATCAAACCAAGGTGCCAAAAAAGGTCAAATAAATAATATTAAGTGAAAAACAAAATTTTGCTTTTGAATTTAACAACTTTTGCTTTCCAGTGGACTATTTGGAAAGAGAGAAAATAGCGAGGGTAATATGAAAAAAGTAATACTTATCAAAATATATATATATGAAAAAAGTAACGCACATATCATGCAGGAAATTATGAAAACATAATAGCTTCCTCCAATGATGTCAGTCATTTAACCAACCAACCACATGATTCTTTTTTATTGGAAACAGTTAACTTTCATTAATACAGAAGTTTAAAGAGTACACCTGTCAACCACCTGCAACAAGTGTTGACCCAAAGTTTTCTAAAACATTACAACATAGCCCAAATTAAATTGTTTCTAAGGGTCCCTTGCTTTGCCAAGGTGTCAGCTAAACCATTAGCTAACCTCTTGGTCCATTGAAGGTTGCCCCAGCTTCCTTTGCTAAGCAAGAAATTTCCCTCATTTGCTGTCTGTATGTCCAAACTCTCAAACTCTTTATTTGCAGCCAGCCTATTAGCAGTTTAGAGTCTCCTTCAAACTCAAGATTGTAAAGTCCCCATTGCTTAGCTAGTCTCAAGACTTTGAATAGTGCCCAGTGTTTTAAAAGCACAAGGCGCAAAAAAAGCGCAAGGGCCAATTTGCGCCTGAGGCGCAAGGTGAGGCGCATGCCTTTCTGAAGCAAGACGCAAATATGCAAAAAAAAAATGCTAAAAAGTTAAAAAAAAAGTCAGAAAATTCAAAAAATATTAAACATAATATTAATAGAAAAATATAAATTTTAATTTTAAAATAAATGTTTTAAAAAACCTATTATCAAAAATTAAAATACATAAACATAACATGTAAAGCGTATTCAAATGAAAATTTAAAAATAAAAGCATTTTCAAGCATGTAAAACCCACAATCTCTTTTTCCTCAATTGCAATACTTCAAGTAGCTAATGTATATTGCATTCTTGATTCTATGAGTCGCCTTTGTACCACACCCCTTGAAGCAAGCCCAAACAAGCCCATGTTAGGGTCTTAAATTCTTATTTCTCACATAAAAAAATAATGATTTTATAACTCTAATTGCCTTTTAAGAAGATATTTTATTGGCTAATGTTGTTCATTCATTCATTCCAATGAAATATCTTCTTAAAAGACAATTGAAGTTATAAAATCATTATTTTTATGTGAGAAATAAGAATTTAAGACCCTAACATGGATTTGTTCGGGCTTGCCTCGAGGGGCATGGCCGGGGGAGCGAAGCCCCTGGCCCAGCCGTTAGGCTCAAAAAAAGCAAAAAATGCTGAATTTTAAAAAGGCACACGCCTGGGCTGAGGCGCCTAGGACTTGGGCCTGTGCACCTAGGACCTAGACCTAGGTTACCCAAGGAGATTCCGTCAAAATTGGACTTCACTCTTTGTTCCATTGAAGGAATCCATTGCTCCTGGATCACATTCTTTGTACTTGTAGAATTTTCCACTACAAACCATCCTCTAGAGATGTCCTCAACTAAGTAGTCTTTAAATAGCTAAGTCGGTTTCAACCAATGTATGACCTTAATAGTTATGCAAGCAATACTTGCTCCTTAGATCTTCCAATCCCTTGAAAATTTGTATCATTTCTTTCTTCCCAAATTGACCAAAGGATAGCTGCTCTTGTGGTTCCCCACATCACTCTTCCCCTATTCTTCGATAGTCTAAAAAACTTGGGTCAAAAAAGCTTGCCACATCCGGGGGAGGAGTCCACCTACAACCAAAGAGAGTTTGATAACCAATTCCAAACAAAAGAAGCAAAAGGACAAGACAATAGTAGGTGTGTAATTGTCTCACCAAAACTTAAGCATAAGCTACAAACATGAGGTGACAAGCAGCAATTTGACCTTCTTCTTTGAAGCTTGTCTAAAGTGTTAATTTTTTGGAGCATTACCTCCCAACAGAAAACCCTTATTTGGGGGGGTAAAGGGTTATGCCAGACTTCCTTCATTGGAAAGGGACATGCCAAATTAGAAGACTAAAGAAGAGCAGTGAAGGAGGAACAAAGTAAAGGAACAAGAAGGGGACACTAACCAAACTGGCAAATCCTACTGTCCAAATAAGCATGATCTAGAAACACGAAACTGAGAAGAGATATAAGGTCATCCACCATCCCCATTTCAAATTCCCTTAAGGCCTTAACCCTCTCCTCAAACCCAAATCCCAAGAATTATCATTCCCATAGATAAAGGATATTACTCACCCTTTATTTTGGGAGAGAGAATAAATAACTGGAAATCTATCTTTAAGGGAGGTATCCCTAAACCAAACGTCTTCCCAAAAGAGCACTTTAGTACTTGCACAAGCATCATACCTGATGTACAAAAGGAAGGCAATATACCAATATACTATGGTTTGTTTTCCAAGAAGACGACCGCAATGCCCTAGGGTCAAGAGTAGCATCCTAACCATTATCTTCCATGCCATGGATACTCAAAATTACTTTATGAGTTTATCATATTCTAAAGGCAATCTCCATAACCATTTCCCCAAAAAAACCAGGTTTCTAAGTCTAAGATTTCCTATACAAAGGCCCCCACTGTCCCTACTTCTAGACACCACCTCCCATTTCACCAAATGATCCTTCTTTGTGTCCTTCGACTCCCATAGGAAATCTCTCATTATTTTCTCCAATTGATTTTCCACTCTTGTAGGGATTTTAAAGTGGATAAGAAATAAACTAGTAGGTTAGTCAAGGTTGACTTTACTAAGTTTATTCTTCCTCCTAAAGAAATGTAATTTCTCTTCCACCCTACAAGCCTCTTTGAGAATCTTTCCAAAATTGGGTACTAGAAGCTTTCAGAGTTTGGGTTCCCCCCAAACGGAAACCCAAATACAGTAGCGACCAATCCCCTACCTCACAACCCAACAAGCTAGCAAGGTTTTCCACCTCTTCTCCCTCTTTATTTAACCAATCACATGATTCTTTTGCACAGGAAAATGATAAAACACAATCATTGAGATAGTTATCTACCACCTAAGTATCAAAGGATATATGGGCTTGCTACATTACAAGGAATGCAAGCTAGTTCTTATGTTGCCCCCTTATTTTTGGCATTTTCTTCTTTTTCCTTTTTAAAAGGTCCTCTTTTAATGTCCTCCTCCCTCAGATCTCTAATACTGCAACAGCACCTCCAAGGTGGTAGAAATAGTGGTGGGTATGGAGATGGAAAACTAGCAAAGTTCTTTTTCCATCTTGTATCTCCCCACTTCTTTTGCAACTCTATGACAGAACCCTTGTTTTATGCACAGGCAAGAGATTATAGAGTGAAAGTGTTGATATTCATTGTGTTGCATGTTCGGTTATCGTTCTTTTCTGATTGGTAACAATCAGAATTATTGTTGATTATGAAAAAAGAATGATGCGTAAATAAACATAATGTGCCAAGAAAACCTTAACATAGGCTAGCATGTGCTAACCATTAATTATTGTTGATTATGAAAAAAGAATGATGCGCAAACAAACATAATGTGCCAAGAAAACCTTAACATAGGCTAGCATGTGCTAACCATTCCATTGTATCATGCTATCATTTTATTTACAGACACTCCCCTGGGGGTTGTCCCCCAAAACAAATGATATTTTTAAAGGTCCCAAAAACAAATGATTTCTATTTACCTCTTGCCTTGTCAAACCATCAATCATACTGTTAGCTGATCTTCAAATGCAATTAAACGTTGCACTTAACCCCCTTGCCAAAGATATTAATCCCCTCATAACATGTCTATATTTCCAATACCCTATAGTGCCGTTTTCAAGCCAACCCACCACCACATTCAAATCCACTTCTACCAATTATCCACTCTTATAAAATCTCATTAGCCTATAGGTCCAGAAGATGTGACCATTGTGACACCAAGACAATTTCTGATAATTCCCCCAATTCCTGACCAGCCTGGATTTCCCAAGCTGCATCCATCAAAATTTGGCTTAACCACATCATGGATCAAGGGAGACCAAAGTGGGGATGTATAAGATCTGGCTGAAGAGGAAGAAAGTAATCATCTGCCACCCTTTGAAAAAAAAAAAAAAAAAAAAACATTGATATAGAATGGGGAGAAGATTGGTGCGATTTTTATCTACCATTCCATCCTTGCATTGGTGCTTTAAATTGGCACTTTTTCATTCGTATTAATACACATTAAAATAGTATGGACAAAAGGAAAGAGAGGCAAATCATAACATCTAAAGGAGGACACAATGCCACTAAGAGCAAAATATCACACCTTTAACAAAAAACACTTTATGCACTAAAGAACTTATCACTAAAGTTCATATCTTACATCTCAAAGTGCTCCTAAATTTATTTCTATTCAAGGAAAATGCCATGAAACTCAACTTTAATGCATAAAAAGCTCCAAGCAAAATGTCTCAAGGCTCACCTTTACAAGCTCATCCCTAGATCTTGAGTGTGCCTCACAAGAAAGTGGTCTTGAAAGATTATTTGTCTAGATTGATACCTAAATATATAATTCACTATAGTCATAAACTTGGGTCTTTTTAATGTTTAAACACTTGTAATGTTGTACTTCATACTGAATGTTTGTCTAGGAAGGGTTGAGAGTTTGCAGTTGCTGATCTGTAATTTAGGTTTTAATATCCCCACCACCACCACCACCACCCCCCCTAAAAAATCCAACTTCTTATTTGTAGCCGTTTCCTAGAAGAAAAAAAATATATATCTAGATTCTGTTACAGATCATTAGAAATTGGTGGTAGCATCATTATTTTCAAGTATGTAAACGAAGGAAGAAGGAAATCTTAATTGAGGCATGTAAAATGCACATGCACATATATGCCCTTTATGTAGCTCTTGTCTTTTAATTCTCAACTCTTCTCAAGTTTATTTATTTTAATGCTAAAATCAAATGAGGGCTTGTGAAGTTTAAGCCTCACCCACATTATGGCTTAAAGAAGTTGTAAGCTTCCCCCAAGACATTGATATTAATATTATTGTCCTTGGATCAAAAGCTCTGCTCAAGGCTACAAGTGCACCATCTCAAGATACTTTTAGACCATTCTCAAGCATCAATATATGCATGAATTCCTCAAATACACAGTATTGGACACTAAAAATGCATCATACATGATCAAACCCACCAACTTCTCATGTACAGATAGTGTGAGCTACGCTAAGAAACTTTCAAGATCGAGAACAATTTGCTAGAAGCTTCCAAATGCCTCCATTTGAACATTTAATGGACAAACAAATGCCATAATATTACACAACGTGCATAATTCAGCAGTTACATTCGAGAATATCCTCACCAGTATGAAGGGACCAAAAGAGTACCTGCTATCTCGATCCCTTTCTCTCGACTCCCTCTCCTTTTCTCTTTCCCTGAACTCTCTGTCTCTCTCGCGCTCTGCATCCCTATCACGGTCAATGCGGTGCCTTTCCGAGTGGCTCCTGCTCCTACGTGATCGTTCACGTTCTTTCTCCCTATCTCGTTCGCTTTCACGATCACGCTCTCTTACCCTATCGCGGTCTCGGTCTCGGTCTCGGTCCCGGTCTCTTTCCTTGCCACTCCTCTCCTCCCTATCCCTGTCTTCCCTGCTGTTTCTATGTCGTTCCTTCTCGCTCCGCTCCCCATCCCTAGAGCGGTGGTCAGGAGACGAACGGTGACGTGAGGAACCTCTGTCTCTGTGCCTGTCGCGATCACGGGTGTCGTCTCCGGATCTTGCCCGCTTCGAACGGCTATCCAGATCATCATTGTTATCGTCGCTCCGATGCTTAGAGCTTCGGCTCCGATCTTTTTCTCCTGATTTAACCGCCCGGTCGTCACCATTCACTATTTCCTTGTCCTTTGGCCCTTCCGGATTCTCAACTGTTTTTTCTAAATAATCATACTCGTCGAACTCCATTCTATGATCTTCGAATAAAACAAGGCCGTTAAACGACCTTGTCCAAAACCCTAAAAGTTGTTAAGAATCTGCAGCAGACGATAAATTCATCAAAAGGAAAAAGAAAAAAGTAGAAACTGGAATTGGAACATGAAAAACACAAAGGGGAAAAAATCAAATATGAACTTGAACTAAGGGGTCAAGAGACAAATTAAAAAATAAATTAAGAAACCCTAGAAATGAGAATGAAACAAGAGACAATTAAAAGAAAGGAGCGAGATGATGGAACACTGGTTATAAGGAAGCAGAGCAAAGTGTCTGTGACTGTGAGTTTGCAAGGTTCACCTGTCTAGGGCCAGGGGAGAGCAAATACTGAAGTAGAGTTTAGCTCAGAGTGACAAAGGCCGAAGCAGATGAACATGAACACGATTCACCGAGCGAACGGAAAGATGGGCTTCTTAATTTTAGTGGGACAAATCCAAACAAGTAAAACCTAGCGATAGTTCTCACTTCTCACCATCACGTGATATGCAATGGGCCTCGGATCAGACCTGGATTCGATCCCCGGTCTCCGCTACAACTGAGCCGATCGGCAGTTGACGCTAGGCCGGCTAGGGTCTCTAATCGGGTCAGTGGGGCGAGGGGAAAAAAGGAAAAAGCTCATTGGACCTTTTTTTTAGTTGTAAATTACAAAGACCCTTATATTATAGGGTAGGATCAATTATGTTTACCCTTTTAACTTTCTTTTGTGACAAAGCCTCTTCAACTTTCACTTTGCAACAAATACCTCATAGCAGTTTAGTGAGAAGATTGAATGTGTTAAATTACCGAAACATCCACTTAAACTTTTCTTATCTTCATTTTCTTGCCCTTTTCTCAATTGATCCAAAAATATCTTTCATTTTCTCCAAACTAGCTAAAGTAACAGAAATCATTCAGTATTATACAAAAACAAGTTTCTTTAAATTATGGTTTATTTCATTGTCATTAAAGTATCTCTTCATCCTAAAATATAAAAAGCTATCCACTCCTTTCTCCAATAAATCAAGAAAACCAAACGAAATTTTAAATTTATATTTATCAAAAAGAAACCTCTATCATATCATTTGAATATTAAATCTAATAAAAATTGCAAAGATTTATTAGAGCAACTAAGAGGGTTTCAATATTATATTTATAAAACTAATCGAATCATAGATCATTCAAATAATTAAGAAAATAATAGTTTGGGGATTTAAATTTTTTTAAATATCTTAATTTTACTCTAATAGATGAGGTATTTGTCACAAAGTAAAAGTTTATGGTTTTTCTTTTTTTTTGGCAAATGGAAGTTCAAGGGGGTAATTGTCACTGACCCCAAAGTACATGGGTAAATTACAAAGACCCCTTACGTGACAATTACCCCTTCAACTTTCACTTTGGCTTAGTTTGAAATGAGTACAAATACAAATATGTATAGTGCAAAACCTTGTATTTTATAATATTTTATATGCATTTATACTATACATATTTATATTTATACTCTTACAAAGTGAGCCTTTACAACGAATACACCTGGCCATAGAACCAAAATATCCACATGAACTTTATTCATTTTTCTTTTCATTGCCCATTTTATCTTAAACACACACACAAAACTTAATTGTCGTGCGTGCCTCCATTGCTTCCCGTTGGATGTTGGAAAATACATTTGTCACTTTACCAACAAAGAACTTTGTGCTATGCCATTAGGGGTGTTCACGGTTCACTTAACCGAATCATGGGGTGATTTTCTGGACCGAATCAATTTGTTTAATTTTTACATTTAACCAAATCGATGCAATCAGTTAACCGGCCGATCGGTTAATCGTGGTTCGGTTTTTCGGTTTTTTTATGCCCTCAAAATATAAAAAAAAAAAAGGGAACTACAAGACAGGGAGAGTGGGAGTCTGAGAGAATGTCGCCGAAGCAGGAGGAATCGCTTTCGACATCAGAGGGCGAAGTGTTGAAGGCTGTCGGTGTCAGCCCGTTGGGGAAGAACGAAGAGAACAGGGAGAGTGGGAGTCTAAGAGAGTGAGAATCCGAAAGAGAGAGAGCTCATATAGAGAGAGGGAAAGGTGTCAGGTTGTTGTGGAAGTAGGAAGGATCACCATTTGCCAATGTCATCGAAGCAAGAGGGATCGTCGGAGGCTGTCAACGATTTGATCGGAGGCAGAGCACTGAAGGACATTGCCCATCGGTTCATTGGGGAATAACTGGGAATGGGAGAGACCAGAGAGTGGGAGTCTAAGAGAGACAGAGAGTGAGAGTCGAGAGAGCTCAAAGAGAGGGAAAGAAAGGGAAAAGCCAAAAATGGTTGTTCGGCAGACTAGCGAACTGAAAATCTAATAAATGTGAATTGAAAAATCTCATTTCACATTTATTAGATTTTCAAAAGCAAAACAAAATGTAATATATAATATTAATATAATATATATAATACTATATAAATATATATTATTGTATATATATTGGTCGGTTCGATTAACTGCTGGTTTTTTTAAATGGTTAATCAAAACCGAACCAACCGATTCGATTAACCGATATTTCAGTTCGGTTTCGATCGGTTTTTTCGGTGGTTCAGTTTTTTTGCCTATATGCCACTAAAGGAAAAAATTACAGCAAGAAAAACCTTATTCGCATCTATTGCGCCATCATCAAAGAAGTAATCTGATGAGGGTGGATTTGGCCCTCCAATGACATTGTGACACGTGGCATCTCGGAACAACTAGGTGACACCCGGAACCACTTAGGCAACAACATAGCCAAGATGATGGTGTCCCAAACTGGCGACCTGGCATAGGCGCCGAACTGGCAACTGGCACAGGCGCCAATTTGGTAACCTGGTACAGGCGCTGACCTGGCGACTTGGCATAGGTGCCGAACTAGCGACCTGGTACACGCGCTGACCTGGCGACCTAGACCACAATTCAAGTTGGCTAGAAGCACCTCGTCCAGGGCCGACCTGCAGCACCTCATCACTAGCCAAAGTGACTTTGACGCAAGGAGCGACCTCCCTCGAGGGCGTGTCGGCCTGATTGAGGTCCAGGTGGTGATTTGCGAAACGTGCTCGTCGATAAATTCGGCATGCATATCCCAACACTCCGACGGTCCTTGGAAGTTGGCCCACGTACCGAACGTTCCAGAGGGTGGTCAACGTGCATGAAAGTTGCCTCCGGGAATCTCGAACCACTTAAACGACCTCGCAGAAATCTCGGATGCGGTGCATGAAGCCCAGGCCAAACAATGCCTATATAAAGACACCAACCCCAATGGCATAGGGGGGGGGGGCAAGTAAGCATATTCTAGCTCTCATACTTTGTGATTTTTAACTCGCAGTCTACTATGAGAGTATTGACTTAAGCATCGGAGCGACCTCGTTGGGTTAGCCACCCCGGGTCCTCCGACATTGATTCTTTGCAGGTCTAAAGAATTACGATGCTCAACAATCAATCCAGCTCTGCACCTAATATGCAACTTGGCCCTCTGGTCAGTTCAACACCTAATATGCAGCTCGGCCCTTTGGTCAGCTCAGCACCTAATATGCAACTCGGCCCTTTGGTCAGCTCGATGCCTAATATGTAGCTCGGCCCTCTGGTCATCTCGACGCCTAATATGCAACTCGGCCCTCTGGTCAGCTCGACACCTAATATGCAGCTCGACACCTAATATGCAGCTCGGCACCTAGTCCACTCCCAGCTCGGCATCCAAGTCCTCACCCAGCAAAATTCTCCAATTCGGCCTCTGAGTCATCGGCCACTTGGAAGCAGATCGAATGACGAGGTACTTAGCACAAAAAATTGATTCATCAATTAGCGCGCCATCCGACTTGAAGCTAGATCATCCTCCAACAAGGAGTAGTCAGATCGCGCAACATCAATTGGCGCCGTCAGTGGGAAACGCTACAAAAAGGTAAGTTATCATCTTCTGAAAGGCTATCTTCCAGAAAGCTAAGTTCTCACATTTTAGAAACTAAAGCTCTCACTTTCTAATTTCCATTTTTGATGAACTCAAAGACTAAGCAGGAAGTTGATGGCCAACAGACTAAGCAGCTCTGCCGACTTTATTTCAACTTGGATAAAGCCTTATTAATCCTTTTCGCGAGGTACCCTCTACAAGATGAGCTTTTTGTGGCTTCCGCGGGAGTTGGCAGCCAACGAACTGCATGGACGCCCTTGCTGATCGAGCCTTCAAGGGCTCCCGCACGAGCTGGTGACCTAAAGTCAGTAGTGTTGCTCCCGTAGGTCGAGCTCCCAGTAGCTTTTTGTAGGAGTGGGTGATCGGCGTCACTAACGAGGCGGATGCAGCGCAACGTAACTCTAAAGTGTCGAACTGATAAAAGACCTCGGCACCACATAAGACCCATTCACCTCTTTGGCATGGGCAAAATCAAGGGTAAGGAGAGTGGACTGCGAGTCACTCCCAGGGCCTAAGGGCTAAAGTGCCGAATAGATAAAAGACCTCGGCGCCACATAAGACCTAGTCGCCTCTTCAGCATGGGCAAAATCAAGGGTAAGGAGAGTGGACTGCGAGTCACTCTTAGAGCCTAAGGGCTAAAGTACTGAGCTGACAAAAGACCCCAGCACCACGTGAGACCCAGTTACCTCTTTGCATGGACGAAATATAAAGCAGTTCGCATCCAGCATGAGAAAACAAAGGAAATACTAGTTTGCTCTCAACACCATGATGGATGCAAACTTGATTTCTTCATAGCCGACCTCCACCTCGGTTGCAAGCTCCGCATCAAACTCACTGCTGGGACTAGCTTGAAGGACGCTGCGTCGAAGTCTACCTAGGTGGAGCGACCTGATAGAGCAGTCACACAGAACCCCCTCTTAAGGACGACATGATGAGATTCACTATTGAGGTACTTAGCTAGATCGCAGAACATCTTGATGGTCACATTCCTAATAAGGTAGATGTCCTCAGGGTACTTGCTCCACCTCTCATCGAGTAGATGAATTCTCTCTCGGGTCCCGAAAATTAATATGGCAAGGTCCTGCACAAGGCTGCAAACACTTGGACTCTTCCGACTTGAGAAGCAAATTGGATCGACGCTTACGAGCTGATGTGTGTGCATGCTACACATTGTTTTTATTGCTTTATACATGGTTTTGATGATGATTCTTAACGGTTTTTACTCTAATTGAGCGGAATATCAGGAAACTAGGAATTTGAGACAGTTTAAGGTTAAGAGAGCATAAAGGCATGTTGATATGGCGGCAAGGGGAGCACTTCGGCCCATCAAGAAGAGAGGCCCAGCCGCAGCCTTATGGGAGGCTCCAAGAGGCGGCTAGCTTTAGCAAAGTTCGAAGGGGAGTAGGACTCTTAACCAAAAGTTGAAAGAAAGAGTATAAAAGAAAAAGAAAAATAAGAAATTAGGGTTCGACCCCTTGACACAAGAAGGAAAAAGAGAAGTGCTAGGAGAAGGACCACAAGGCTGCCGAAGGAGAATTGGAAGGAGATCGAAGATTG